ATATTAATATAGCCTCTTTAGTCAACTTTGACTGCTATTAGCTTAGCATTGAATATCTTTTTCCATCCACTTTTTAATCTTCTTTGTGGTTTTATATTTAAAGAGTATTTCTTGGGCAGCATACAGTTGCGTCACCTTTTTATCCAATCTGACAATCCTTGCTTTTTCATTGGCGTGATTAGATTATTCACATTTAATGTGATCATTGATATGGTTGGGTTTAAATCCTCCATCTTGCTATTAATTTTCTATTTTCCATCTGTTCTTGTTTCTTTTGTTTTTCTTTGCATTCTTTTGAATCGAGTATTTCTTTTATTCCATTTTATCTCCTTTGTTATCTTATTAGCTATAACTATTTTTGGTATTATGCTAGTGGTTGTTTTGTGGTTATATAGTATACATCATTAATTTATTGCAATCAACCTTCAAGTGATATTATGGCTCTTTGCATATGGCACAAGGACCTTACAACTGAGTATATTCATTTCTCCTTGCCTGGCTTTTGTGCAGTTATTTTCATGTATTTTTTTTGTTGTTGTTAAGATTTTATTGGAAAATTGGGGGAGGGGAACAGTGTTGGGGAATCGGGGAAGGGGAACAGACAAGTTGCTGTCGTTTTGTTCTTCAGTCTAGTTATAGAGGACGTTGCTTCACTGGCCCATGTTGGTATTGTGATCATTGTGCTCTTCCCCGCTGAGGCAGATTGGTCATGGCAGCTCATGGCAGCTGCCAGCCACTCACGCTGGCTGCCAGACACTCATGGTAGCTAACGGCAGCCCACTGCAGCCTACGCCGTCGCCAGCCACTCACAGCAGCCCAGCTCCAGGTCGAGCTGTTGTTCACCATCTTAGCTGTAGAGGGCGCAGCGTCACTGGCCCATATGGGATCCGAACCGGGGCCCTGTTGCTCAGAGCTCTCACTCCCAAGCTAATTCTTAACCAACGAGCCACTCGGCCAGCCCTGTCCTTCGTTTTCTAATGTCTAACACACTGAAAAACATTTGTATATATTGTGTTTGATTTTTAACTTGTTTCATACTATTTGGTGAATCTGGCTGGAAATAAAAGTTCAGTATGCTCTTTTTTTTATTTAGCCTGTGTAGTGCATATGGCTCTCTGCAACCATAGCTTGATTTTTTTTTTCATAAATTTTGAAAATTCTCCACCATTACTTTTCTAGTCTTACTCCTACCCATCTTCTGTCTCCTCTTCTTCTGCCACTCCAAGTACACATACACATATATTGTACTTTTTCTCTCTAGACCCTGGGTCTTTTACTCTTCCTTCTGTATATATATATATTTCTTTTTCTTTTAAAAAGAAAGCTATACTTCTGGAAATTTTCTTCTGACATATCTTCTAGTGACTATTTTTTCTAATATGCTGTTAAACTCATATTTAGAGTTCTTACTTCTGGGTTTGTGTTTTTCAAAAGGTTATAGAATTTAGATTTTTTTTGTTTTTTCCAGTTTTCTCCTTGTAAGTCTTATTTTGTTCTGTCTCCTTGAACATACATTTATTTTAATTGTGTGTCTTGTACCCTTATTTGTACTCCCCGAGGACTCATTTTTATTGTCTGTTATTTCTCTTGGTTTATATTTATGCTGTTTTATTTCTCACATGCCACTTTCATTTTGAATGATATATATCAAATATTAAAACAGTATAGAAATAATTTTTAAGCCTTAGATGATGCTCTTCTTTCAAAAAGGAATTTATTCTAAAATTCATATGGAATTTCAAAGAACCTTGAATAGTTTAAACAATCTTGAAAATAAAAAGCAAAGTTGTAAGAAAAAAAAAAGAATTTATTTGCTTCTGTCAGGTGGCTAAGTGTATCTGCAAGCCAAAATCATAGAGCCAGTATACTTCCAAATTTACTCTTATTCCCAAGATATTGTCTTTTGGGATCCCAGCACAGAGTGAAAAGAGATGCCAGGTGCTTCCTTCTGGTTATGTTCTGACTCCAGTATTTTCCCACTAGCTCAAGGTTGTCAAAATCACAGCTCAGCTCTTTACTTTCTCAACCTCCTCTTCTCAATTCAGCAAACACTCTATGGGAAAATGCAGCTCCAAAAGCTGGCCTCACCTCCCTAGGTTCCTGCCTTCTTGTGGGTTTGAGCCTTGTAATTCCTCACTGCCTTGTCAGCTGTCCAGTACCTTCAAGCATGCTTTTTTAATATTTTGTCCAGCTACTAATTGTTCTCACTGGGACTGTTGGTCTGAATTACATTACTGAGATTACTGGAAAAGGAAGCTCCATTCTTATTCTTGCCTTTTTGTATAAGTACATGATCCCTTTGATAAAAACAAAATACGTTTATAATTAAATGTTTTCTGAAATAAGGAGTTTTATTTGACCAGAAGTAAAAAACACAATAAGCCACTAAAAGAAACCACTGTAAGTTCAAGGTAGAGACATGAAGAAAATATAATTGGAGAAATGAACAAAATTAGAGATGTTTAAAATGATAATTGGCCATAGATGTCCATAATTTCAAGTGGGACTAGACTTTTTATAACAATCATTGTATTCATAAGCCTGATTTTTACCTAACAGTAGAAATAAGTTAATGTGAGAAGTGTATTTTTTAGCACTGTCACCACCAAAGAGATGCAACAAGGTGTCAATACCAGTAGTACCAGTAGTGAATTGGAGGAAAGATATAATGTTCATACCGACTGCACATGTTTTATACTCTTTTTTACTCTACATTAAAAGTGTTATTTGAAGAGTAGTCTATTTCCTGTCTTTAGCTAGGAAGATATTAAAAATAAAAAGTGTTTGAAATATTTCCAGAAAGCAAAGATGCTTTTAAAATGCCTGGGGTAATGTTAAAAGAAGCCAGCTTTAAGGCATTTCCATTAGCCAAATTGGTACAAAGTGAGACTCAAAAAGAGAGTAGTATTATAGTTAATTGGAACAAATTGCATTGGTGAAAATCTACCACTTCTTAAAAATGCAAAAGTTAATGTGATGTATATAAAAACATAGTTGTAATCCAATAGTATTGACTGAATAGTCTTAAGAGATGAACTAAATGTATAGGTCAGTCAGTCATCTGCTGGACAGTAAAACCTTTTAGGGAAACTACTGCTACTAAAATAAACATAGCTTATTATTATTTTCTGTCTCCCTGGCCTCCAAAGGTTATCCAAAGTGCTACCCAGCTTCTTAATCTCTTAGCCTCCTCTTCTGGAATCATCTGGTATCAGCAGGAGAAAAGTGGATCTAAATGCTGAGATTAATGGATGGGGATTCTGTCTTTTATTGGATATTGGCCTAACAATTCAGTACTTGCAGGGACTGATTCCAGCTTCAAAAAAAATCTCAATCCTTTCAAAACAATTAGATGGTCTTTGATTGCTTGTGCTTCTAGCCACTCACTAAAAGCACAAAATCACTCTACCATGCTAATAACAAATTCATAGTTTTCCAATACTGGTGACTGATGAGGTAAATATATTGGGTTGTTGGAAAAGTCATGACGTATTTTTTCTATGTTTTTCGTTGCAAAAATGCATCATGACTTTTCTGACAACCCAATATATTGTAAGACCAAATAAAACTTGAAGAATTTGCCTTTTGGAAAGAAAACACAATGAAATAAAATAAAACCTGTGTGAGAGACAACTAAAAGTTTCATTTATATAAGTAATACATAATCTTTTTTTAATTGTAGGGATGAAAATCCTGCACTATGTAGTTTGGAAGCATGGTGGTGGTAACAATGAATGTCACTTGAACATAAATGCTCTTGATATTTGGTGTAATTTGTATTTCACACTGGACATCACAATAAATTCTGAGGACATAAAATTGTAGCACCATTGTTCTATGGGAAATTCTGGATGTCTGTAAAAGCAAAGAATCTTTTAATACTGAATTTTTAAAACTGTTGAATATAAATATTACTTATATGGTAAATATATAATACAAAAACAGCTTTTTAAAATGTGATATTAATACAGAGGGTGCAAAAAAATGTATACCCATATTAAGAAAGGAAAAAATTAAAATTGCAATACTCACTATATACTGAAAACAAAAGATGAATACAAGTCATGTATATACATTTTTTTGGCTCCCCCCCCCCATATATGGTGAAATTCATTTTACTGCCCTGACAAAACACAAATAAAAATAATTTTATTAATTTCATATTAATGGGTGTAGGGGGAATTAAAATTCCACTAGCTGTGATGAAAACGCACCTATCCCATAACAACAGACCACTTTTTGGAGAATCTGTTTGTCAGCCTCTACTATTATTTTTTGACACTGTTCTAAATGCTCGACCTAAAGCAGTGAACAAGGCAGAGAATGTCTCTGGTTCCATAGAGAGCTATCATTCCAGGGAGGAAGAAATATCCAAACAAAAAACAAAAAAAAGAACCCATTGTTAGAGATTATACTTTTACTTTCTTAGAGAGTGAATTTCATATAGAAAGTCTGAAGGAGAGATTCTGGAGAAAAATGGCGGCTGTGAGGAGGGCTCCCTGAGTTCTCCCCTGAAAATTGCCACAATTTGAACTGCTGTAACAATTCAAACAAACCTCTCTACTCGGCACACAGAGCAGCTGAGAGACTCGCATGCCAATTACCGGAAGATGGGCAGACCAGGCGCGTGGGGGAAGAGGGAGGCGAGACGCGTGGAGGCGCAGCTCGCACCCGCAGCGTTTGAGACTCGGGGTCTCAGAGAGCAGATCAGTGTCCCCGCAGCTCGCTCCCTGCACCTCGCAGCCCGCCTAGAGAGCAGCAAGAGTGCTACGTTTGCAGTCTGAGGCAGAAGCCTCCGGCCGGGTGAGTGGGGTAAGACAGAGAGAGGAGACATGCGTGCAGACGCACAGTCCACACCAAGGCTCTGGAGCTGCAGGAACCCAGGAGACAGAGCGGAGAGCGTGGCAGCGCCAGGGCGGGCTCAGTCCCTGTTCCCACTCGGCCCCGCCCAGAGTGCAACGGGAGCTCCACTGCGCAGACTCTGAGGCAGCAGCCTCAAACCAGGCGAGCAGGGGAAGAGAGCAGCAAGACGCGTGGAGACGCAGCCCGCGCCCGCAGCTGTGGAGACGCGGGGCCCCAGGAGGCAGAGCAAAGAACGCAGCAGCGACAGGGTGAGCTTAGTCTCTGCACCTCTGCGGTCCCTCCCCAGGTGCAGCAGGAGCTCGGCTGAAGCGTCTGAGGCAGAAGCCTCAGCTCAAAATGGCGGTGGGACTTTTTTTTTTGGACAGAAAGCAAAAACTGCATAGATGAGAGCCCACCCCCGCACTCCTTCAGAAACCTTGGCCCTGGGCAGGCCAGAGTCTTAAGCTGACCCCTGAATGGAGGAGTAGTGTCAGATTACAGAGGGGCTCCTATTCCCAGGGGGTTGAGAAACTTCACATGAGAAGAGGCTGTGGAGTGTGAGCCTACCTACCCTGCCCCCACCTCTCTTGCATGGCTTGGGAGGCAGGGCAACTTCAGCTGCTCAGCCTCCCACAGCCCCTTCTCCCTTCGTGTGTTCCCCCGCCCCCCAAGAAAGTGGCTTCTAGCAGCTCTGAAATCTCACCCACCCGCCCCACCCCCACAGCCTCCAGTGGAATGAGTGCCAGAAAGACACACATTGAGCCTTCTGGCTGCATAGCACTCAGCGTGCCTTGGGGCAGGTGAGGGCTGAAATGTCGTTGATTTTGTAAAAACTACCAATCACACCTCATAACCCCACTCATCTACAATAGACCTGCATTGCCAGGGTCACTCTAGGCACCAGGTGGCTGGCTCTGCCCCCACAAGACGCAGATGAGTTTTTGTATAGCAGAGGACAACCTGGGGAGAGCTTGGTGGACTTTAGCCAAGACTAGCACTGATTCTTTTTTGTTTTGTTTTGGGCGTGTTTTTTGTGGTTGTTGTTTTGTTTTTTGGGGGGTGTTTTGGGATTGGTTTTTATTTTGGTTGCTTGTATTGATTGTTTTGTTTATTTCTATTTCATTATTATCATTTTTAGTTTTTAATATAGGCATATATATATATATACATATATATATACATATATATATAGGTGTATATATGTGGACATATATGTCCATACATATGGGTTGTAGACGTAGATATATATATATATTTTTTCTCTTTCCTTCTTTCTTTTCTACCCTCTCTCTCCCTTCTTTTCTTCTTTCTTTTCACTGCTCTACTTTTCCTCCCTCTTTCCACTTTTCTGCAATTTTTTTGAGTGTTGCTATTTTATCTCTCATGTTTATTCTGTTTTTTATTTTATTATATTTTATTTTATTTTGTTTTGTTTTTTCTTTGATTTTTTTTGTTGTTTTTGTTTGTTTTCTTCTTTTGTATGTTTGATATTTCTGTACATGTTGAGGGTAGGTTGTTGGTTGTTTTTTACATGTGAGAATTTCCTTTGGTAGCTATTGTGGTTGTGCATGTTAATCTGTTTTGCTCTAAAATCACTCTGCAGCAGGGCCCCGCCAAAGAGGCACAAGAATCATCACACCCAGAGGCCAACTTTAGATAAAACCAGAGCGTTACAGGGTTTGACCTATAAGAGTCACACCTAAAGGGAAATCGCTACAGGCACAAGAGCCCATAGGCCAAGCCTCATCAGAGGGGTTAACCCTCACACAGCAGCTCATAAACTGCGGACACAGCTAATCCTCACAGCTAGTCAGCCTGGGAGTCAATCCCACCTACTCAAAAGCCAAAAGCAATCAAAGCTCAACTTCAACAGGAAAAGACACACAATACAAGGAACATCTCTGATACACATGCACAGGAGAATAGGGAGACTGAGTAATTCAAATATAAAGGATGCATACCACATAAGTCTACCCAGAAAAGACTGAGAGACCTAGGGGATCTACCTATTACATCGAAGCAAGCACAGAGAGTAAGCCAGAATGGGGAAACAAAGAGACACATCCCAAATACAAGAGCAGAAGAAACCTCCTGAATCCGTGGAACTAGAGGAAATAGAGATAAACAACCTATCGGAGACAGAGTTCAGAACACTAATTATTAAAATGTTCAAGGAAATTAATGAGAATATAAAGAAGGATAGACAAATCATGAAAAACAAACAGCCAGCACTAAAGAATACAATTACTGAATTAAATAATAAACTTGATGGAAGTACTAACAGAATGGATGAAGCAGAGGATTGAATCAGTGACTTTAGAAGACAAGATAGCAGAGATCACCCAAACAGAACAACAAAAAGAAAAAAGAATAAAAAACATGGAAAATAGTTTAAGAGAGCTGGGCAACAACATCAAGCACAACAGCATGCACATCATAGGAATACCAGAAGGAGAAGAGAGGGAGCAAGGGATTGGGAATGTATTTGAAGTAATAATGTCTGAAAACTTCCCTAATCTGGCAAAGGAAATTAACAAAAAAGCCCAGGAAGTGCAGAGAGTTCCAACCAAGATGATTCCAAACAGGTCCACACCAAGACACATTATAGTGAAAATGGCAAGGGTTAAAGAAAAAGACAGAATCCTAAAAGCAGCAAGCGACAGGCAGCAAGTTACTTACAAGGGCACCCCCATAAGAATATCAGCCAACTTTTCTACAGAAACTTGGCAGACCAGAAGGGAGTGGCAGGAGGTTTTCAAAGTGATGAAAAACAAAGGCCTACAACCTAGATTGCTTTATCCAGCAAGGTTATCATTTAAAATTGAAGGAGAAATAAAGAGCTTCCCAGAAAAGAATAAGCTAAAGGAATTCATTACCAACAAGCCAGCATTGCAGGAAATATTAAAAGGGCTTCTTTAAGCAGAAGAAAGAGAAAAACAACCTAACTAAGGAAGACCAGGAACACAAAGAACAAAATGGCAATAACTGCACACCTATCAATAATCACATTAAATGTAAAGGGATTAAATGCTCCAATCAAAAGACATAGGGTGGCTGAATGGATAAGAAAGCAAGACCTTTGCATATGCTGTATACAGGAGTCTCACCTCAGATTAAAAGACACATACAGGCTGAAAGTAAAGGGATGGGGTAAAATATTTCATGCAAATGGAACTGAGAAAAAAGCTGGAGTAGCGATACTTAGATAAAATGGACTTTAAATTGAAGAATATAATAAAGGACAAAGAAGGGCACTACATAATAAAAATAATAAAGGGATCGATCCAACAAGAGGACATAGCCCTAGTAAACATCTATGCATCCAGCATAGGAGTTCCTAAGTATATAAAACAGATTTGACAGACATAAAGACAGAGATCAACAGTAACACTGTCGTAGTAGGGGACTTCAACACCCTGCTGTCACCAATGGACAGATCCTCCAGACAGAAAATCAAGGTGGAAACAGCCACCTTAAATGACACTTTAGACCAGCTGGATTTAGCTGATATTTTCAGAGCATTTCACCCCAAAGCTACAGAATATACATTCTTCTCAAGTACACATGGAATATTTTTCAAGATAGACCACATGTTAGACCACAAAACAAATCTCAATACATTTAAGAAGATTGAAATCATACCAAGTGTCTTCTCCGACCACAATGAAACTAGAAATCAATTACAAGAAGAAACCTGGAAAGTCACAAATACATGGAGACTGAATAACATGCTACTAAATAGCGAGTGAGTAAAAAATGAGATCAAGGAGGAAATCAAAAGATACCTCGAGACAAACGAAAATGAAAACACCACAACCAAAAATCTCTCGGATGCAGCAAAAGAAGTCCTGAGAGGGAAGTTCATAGCAGTGCAGGCCTACCTAAAGAAGCAAGAAAAATCTCAAGTCAACAGTTTATCCTTACACCTCAGGGAACTGGAAAAAAAAACCCAGCAAAATAACCCCAAAGGGAGTACAAGGAAGGAGATAATAAAGACCAGAGCAGAAATAAACTAAATAGAGACCAGAAAAACAATACAAAAGATCAACGAAACCAAGAGCTGTTTTTTTGAGAAGATAAACAAAATTGACAAATCTCTAGCCAGACTCATCAAAAAAAAGAGAGAGGACTCAAATTAGCAAAATCAGGAATGAAAGAGGCAAAGTGACAACAGACACCACAGAAATACAAAAAAATTTAATAAATTACTATGAGCAACTATATGCCAACAAATTTGACAATCTGGAAGAAATGGATAATTTTCTAGAGGCATACAATTTTCCAAAGGTAACTCAGAAGAAACAGAAAATCTCAATAGACTGATTTCTACCAAGGAAATTGAATCAGTAATCAACAAGCTCCCAACAAACAAAAGCTCTGGACCAGATGGCTTCACAAGAGAATTTTACCAAACATTCAAAAAAGAATTATCACCATTCTTCTCAAACTATTCCAAAAAATCCAGAAGGAGGGAAGGCTCCCAAACTCTTTCAATGAAGCCACTATCACCCTGATTCCAAAACCAGACAAAGACAGTACAAAAAAGGAAAACTACAGGCTGATAACCCTGATGCAAATAGATGCAAAAATCCTCAACAAAATATTAGCAAACAGAATTCAGCAATGTATTAAGAAGATCATATACCATGATCAAGTGGGTTTCATCCCTAGTACACAAGGTAGGTTCAATATCCACAAATCAATTAATGTGATACACCACATGAACAAAATAAAAAATAAAAATCATAGGGTCATATCAATAGGTGCAAAAAAAGCATTTAACAAAATACAGCAGACATTTATGATAAAAACTCTTAGCAAGGTGGGAATAGAAGGATCATATCTCAACATAATAAAGGCCATATATGATAAACCCACAGCTAACATCATACTCAATGGGGAAAAACTAAAACCATTCCACTTAAAATCAGGAACAAGGCAAGGCTGTCCACTTTCTCCACTTCTATTCACATAGTCATGGAAGTTCTAGCCACAGCATTCAGATAAGAAAAAAAAAAAAAGACATCCAAATTGGTAAGGAAGAAATAAAATTGTCATTATATGCAGATGACATGATACTATATAGAGAGAACCCCAAAGACTCTATCAAAAAACTATTGGAACTGATAGATGAATTCAGTAAGATAGCAGGATACAAAATTAATATTCAAAAATCAGTTGCATTTGTATATACCAATAATAAACTATCGGAAGGAGAAATTAAGAAAACAGTTCCATTTACAATTGCTTCAAGAACTATAAAATACTT